TGACAGGCAGCCCTTCTCTTCTTTCTACTACCTTCCCCCATTTTTCTTGAGTAAATGCCCATCTGCTTAAGGCCTGGCTGTCTAGAGATAAATACATGATTCAGAGTGCTAGATAGACCTAGCTGAAGAGCAGACCTTATTTTCTTCCTCCTCCTTCACCACTGGTGAGAAACGCCCATGATTTCCCAACTAATGTCCTGTTGAGACTAGAGACACTGAATGCTTCCATGTACTCCCAATGTACTCTTTGGGATTATTTGAAGTAGGTAGTGCTGGTAATAAAATCTATCACACATTGCTATTGTCTGTGGACTTGCACGGGGTTGAATAGGGCTATGTTTTGGGGGAGGGCTTGAGATAAACCAGAATGATTCTTTACCCATGTGTATCAGACATCAGGTCTCTCTTCTACTGCTGACCATTAGTACTTCTAGGGTGGTTATTTTCCCACTGTCGAATCTTGTGCATAGAGACAGTTGGCATTCTGTAGTGCTTTGGGAACTTGATGCATGAATCTGTACAGAAGCTAAAACATGAACAGTCACTGAGTTAGTTCAAAAGCCTAGGAACTGGGCTTTATTTCACTGAGTTCATTCTGGTTACAGAAGGTCTTTTTACATCTGATGTCACAAATGCCCCACTTCTTGTCATTACTCAGAGGAAACCAAAGGACTATGAAGACAAGCAAAGAGATCTGATCCTCTTGGGCTCCTCTTGGTTTTCTTCTCACACAGAAGGCCCTTCCCACTCTTCTCAACCTGTTTGGCCTGATCCTGTAGCCATAGGCAATTTTGCTGCTGAAATGGCTGCCAGCTTGCCTGGTGGGAAGCCAGGCCTGGAGGGAGTAGAGAGAGGGTCCTGGCAACTGCATGGTCTAAGGGCCCCACACAGGTCAACTACTAACTCCTTCCTCAAAGCAACCTTGTTGCTTTCTGTCTTCAGCTGTTTTAACAAGAATGTGGGAGACTGAATAGCTTGGAAAACGGGGAAGTATGCCCACAGTTCCAGAGTCTGGGAGGGTTGAAATCAATGTACCTTATGGCTAAGCTCTGATGAGGGTTCTTTGATTTCCTCACATGTTGGCAGGGGCAGGGATGGAACCTCATCTTTCCTGCCCCTTCTTAAAAGGGCATTAATTCATGAAGAAGTCACCTCCAGGGCGCAATTAATTCTCAAAGTTCCATCTCCAAATAGCACTACATTGGAACTTAGGGTTTCAATGTGAACTTTGAGGTGACATACACATTCAGTCCATAGCAGCCTTCTTGAAAATGTATATAGCATCCCCAAGAAGCTGGTTAGCAAAATTTGATGTGTATTGTTATGTGGAAATAACCTCTCTGAATATAAAAGCAGGCAGGAATGGAAGAAGCCACAGAACCCTTTATAACAAGGAGTAACAAGCTTTTTTCACCAAAACCAAAACAAAGCATTCTGATTGTTTGCTCATATCAAAGAAAGGCCTTGCCTTCCAGCTTTATGATTAACAGACCCTCAAACAGACAAACCCCACCAAGCACTTGTATCTCCAGGAGCAGAGATTTGGCTCAAGGGGAGCTTTGGGCAGAGGTCTATGTAGGGTGCTGGCACAGGAGCTGCTTCCAGGTGGGAGGGCCTCTTGGATGGCTTGCCCTGCCTTGGGTGGTGCATCCTGAGACAGTGTCTACATCTTTGCTCTTCCTGGTCCCAGCATGATGCACTGTAGGAAGGATGCCCTTTCAGCCCTGCCTCAGCGAGGACTTGGCTTCCAACCAGGGTAAGGTCATAGATTGTGAACCAGCTCCTTGGGTAAAAGGAAGCATTCATCCTAACCTCTGTCTTCTTAGGCTTCTGAAGTCTAAGCTGAGGGTAGGGTATTGCATCTTCCTTCCAGATAATGGGGGCTAGAAACTGAATCAACGATGTAGCTGATATTCTCCTCAAAGAAATAGGAGAGGCCTGGAAGGGTAAAGGAAAAGGGAGGCTGGGGTGGCGGGGCTTCCGAATGGGATGTTTAGTTCAATAAAGTGACAGCAGGTGAGTCTGAAGAAATAGGACTGTAGAAGGTCAGCATGATGTGACTGCACACTCCAAGCCTGGAGCCTAGATGATTGATGGGGTCAATCAATTTGTTGAGATTTTCATTGCTGTTAGACAGCAATGAGCACATACACACCACTCATCAGAACTATCAGCTTTATGAAGCGGACAGCTAGGAGCAGAACATGTTTTTTCTCCAGGTCCTGCTTCTTGGCTCCGAGAGAGTGGGAACAACACTATGGTGCTGGCAATGGGCACAGGCTTTCGGGGGAACTGTGACCAGGTCTCAGTGGCTCCTGAACAGCAGCAACTGTGGGACTATATCCAGTAGGGGACTTAGGGTAAATCTCCTTTTAGAAAATGTGGTATAGGATTGCATTCACTTTGGGGTAGGATTCACTGGATCAAATCCAGAGCAGCCAAGACAATAAATTGAAAGCTTTTGCCCCCAACAGTGAATTTGCTGAGCCCAGCTAGTCGTGTGTGAGGAAGGATGGAAACACCGCAGGCATGCACACAGCACTGGTGTGTGCAGTATTAGCTGAGCTGCAGAGGAAGGGGAGGTGGTTTGGTCACTCAGCTCACTGACAGGTGACAGGCATGCTGTTACTGTCTCTGTTCCTCTGCCTCAGTTTTTGCAGTTCCTCCCCCCTTTTAAATGAGCTCAATTATATATATATATATATAGGCTTGTTTGCTATTAGTAAGCCCCACCCAAACCCTTGGACATCAGAAAAAGTTCATCTTGTCATATGCCTCAAACCGAGGTAGGTTAAAGCCTGAGCAGGTGTCTTAGACTTTCTCCATCATCCTTTAGAGGAAGATTTGATCTTCAACCTTGGCTCTTGCCAGGGACAAGAGAAATACAGGGATTGCTGTCTGGGGCAAGCAGCTCAAAGAGTAGAAAGAGGCCAAATTTAAGTTCTACAAAACTCCCAGAGTCCTTTCCTTTCTCTCACCCTGTAGCAAAAGGGGGTGATCAGACATCTGAGGGCTAAATCACTCAGGTGTTCCTTCCATAGACTCCTCAGGATGGGGGAGGGCAGGTAACCAGCAATCGAATTTCCTTTGAAAAAGTGTTTGAGTTTAGTCAGAGGCAGTGGGTTGTGTGACACACAAGGAGGCTTACTGATGCCATCCAGCGACCCTAAAGCAGCTCAAACCGTGTAGACCAGGGGGTTTCCTGTTCAGAAGGCATAACACAATATATTAGCATGTGAAATTCATTCACTATGGAAGAGGTGACTTTTCAAGCAGACCTTTTGGAAGGAACCTGGGATTGTTCTCAATGTCCACATTTGAGGGTGGGGAGCTGGGCAGATGGATGGATGTGAGGGCCTCTCTTCCCAACTCAATTAAGCCTGAGAAATGCAGCAAGAACCTAGAACTAGAGAACTCAGCTCAGAGAGTGTGCTGTTGGAGCACACACCAGGGGCACTGTGCCTCTTGTCACAATCCTTTGTGTTGGATGTTCCCTTCTTCCCTGGGTGGCTTCCCTGTGTTGTTCAGCTGTCTTGCTACTACTCAGGACTGTATCCAGTAAAGATTTGCGATTCTGAAAACAAATGTACATCTGTCTTAGAGTTTTTCATCACTAAGACAGGGAATCTCAAGCAGACACTCAGGAATGAATAAAGTCATAACTTAACATCAAGCGTGACTTGTGTGAATTGAACTTATTGGCTGGTATCATTGACTTTTCACTTAAATGACCAATGAGTAATATATCACAGTGTAGTTTAAAGTTTCAGATATGTTTTCAGACAGAAATATTCCAGGAATGCAAGTCAGGTATATTTCTCATATAAATAACAGTCCTGCTATTACATACAGGGAAAGTCTCCCTTCTCGGGTTTCCGGGGTTGGTTGGGATTCAGAGGCCTGTCATTAATCATTCATCAGGGTCGGTCCTGCAGTCAATGGAAGTTGAAGAGAGCCTTGGGCTAATTCCTCTGGGCAAGGGATCATGGGGCCAGAGAGGACAACTGGGCAGTCAGTCACATGTCCTGGTGTATGGATCCACTTCATCCTTGCCTTGAGTTCGAGCTCGAGCGTGTGTGTGTGTGTGTGTGTGTGTGTGTGTGTGTGTGTGTTCTCAAGGGTATTCCCCTGTTCCAGCACAGACACGGGGCTTTCTAGAAGGAAAAGCTGGGCACATCGTCCATCTACAGAGTTTGTTACAGGGCAGCAGCAGCTGAGCACTGGCATAGTGATTCGGGGTGGCTTTCAAAAGCAGAAATAAGCGCACACCTTAGCTCTTTAATAAGTCAATAACATTAGGAAGCCAGCTTTCTCTCCCACCTGGGCCACCACAAAGCCTTCCTAAGTTGTGCTGCCAATCAGTTCTTAGTTCCCTTCGGAAAGTGGTTCCCAGGCTCCAGGTGGACGTCGGGTGCTGGGTAAAGAGTGAGTTGCTTGGGGCACGTGGCCACTGAGGACGAGAACCCATGTCCACGTCCCTCCGTGCCCCTTGCGCGCTGAGCTGCGCGTTCGGAGCGGAATCCCGCGCGGCTAGCTCGGGCAGGGGGTGGGGGGACCCTGTGGCTCCTGAGAACCACTGGGGGGGCTGGGGTGCGTGGCTGGTGCCTGGGCGCAGCCAACGTCCTGGGGGAAGCTTCTGAGGACAAGGTACCTCCTCCCACTCCCGGGATCGCTTCTCCCTCCTCCTTCACACCCCCGCCCCCGGGACCGCGGTGCTCCCTCCCGGCACCGGCCAGTGAGTACACAAAGCGGCGGGTGAGGGGAAGCTTCGCAGGCGTGCACAGAGCAGTGAGATCACTGGCGTTATAAATATCCCGGTGCCAGCGCCGAGATCCGCTCGGGTGGCCTCTCTCTCTCTCCCCCTCTCCCTCTCCCTTCCCCGAGGCTATGTCCACCCAGTGCAGAGAGGGAGGCAGCGCCAGAGGCACGCAGCAGCGAGGGGGCTACGGAGCCCGGAGACAGCCCTGCAAGATGCACTTAGGACCCCCGCGGCCGGAAGAATGAGCTTGTCCTTGCTCTTCCTCCTCTTCTGCAGCCACCTGATCCTCAGCGCTTGGGCTCACGGGGAGAAGCGTCTCACTCCCGAAGGGCAACCCGCAGCTCCGAGGAACCCGGGAGACTCCAGCGGCAGCCGGGGCAGAAGTAGCACGACGTCTTCATCGTCTTCTGCCTCCTCCCCAGTCGCGGCTTCCCCGGGCAGCCAAGGAAGCAGCCCGGAGCACAGCAGTTTCCAGTGGAGCCCTTCGGGGCGCCGGACCGGCAGCCTGTACTGCAGAGTGGGCATCGGCTTCCATCTGCAGATCTACCCGGATGGCAAAGTCAATGGCTCCCACGAAGCCAGTATGTTAAGTAAGTTGCTCACTCTCCAACAAAACCTGTTCTGGGGAGGGACGGCCAGTATTGCTTTGGGCCACAGGCACCTCTAGGAGCCCCAGGTTCTGGGACTCGGCTGATTCTGGAAATAGTTAGGCAGGTTTCGTAAAGATGCGTCTACAGGGTTCGTGCACTTGGACCCCTCTCTCTTGGGCAGCGGGCATGGCGCTTCCCCAGGTGGAGGTTACCCTGATGAGGCAGGCAGCTCGCTTCCAGAACGACCTGGCCGAAAAGATCACCCCCCGCCCCATCATAGCTGGAGGAAAAATAACCCAAGAAGTACAAATCTCCCTCCTGGTACAATTTCTTTCTATTTATGAATTACAATCGCATTTTTCTTTAAGTGTCAAAGTACATCTCTTTTTCCCTGTACACAATTCAGGCTAGTTTCTGAAAATAAGAGATATGAGTACTTCTATTCTTCAACTACAGATATAAACCCATATTGTAGGTTTACATTAATATGTATATGTAACTTTACACGCATAGGCATATTTCACACACGTATGAATGCACACACATACACACACACAACTAGCTACACATGTCCATGTAGAATGTGTATGTACACACGGAGAGCAGAGTCCTGTTTGCAAGAAGGCATCTCGATCTGTAAAACTGCGCAGATAATATGATGACTGAGTCTGGTGCTGGTTCTATTAATGATTTAGTAAGCCGAAAACCTGACAATACCTTAGCCTTTGATTCCCAGGGACACTTAGAGGAAAGTTCTTAATTTTAAAAGAAACACAGGTTGGAAATGGTTGTAAATTGAGCATAACTTAAGAAGAACAACAACCCAACTTGAAAATTCACTTTCTGAGTTCTCTTCCTCCTTTCCTCTTTGCTTTCACTCCACCCGCGTGCCCTCCACTCCTTCCATTTCATCCGCCTTTCTGGACCAGTGCAGTTGCAACTCGCACTCCCCTTGCTTCTCCTAGACTACTGAAGCCAGCGGTGATTTGGGGCTGTGTGCACGCGAACTGGGGTTGTTTCTGTGGTTCAGCTAGGTATTTTGACTAGATTCAGATCGCTTTTCCAGCAGGGTTTAGTCCTCCAGATAAAAGCCACAGCAGGGACCTCTCAGACTCTCAGGGAGAACGGAAATGGGGCCAGGACATAGTGCTGTGCAGTCACCTGGCCCCTCTAGTCTTCCTGGTGGTTCCCAGGTAAACCTCACCCGACCAGTGTCCTCCGGAGATTAGAAAGCTTATGTTTATTCAGCTTCAAGAAACGCGGGCTTTATTGATTGGGCTGACTGTCTGCTGGGGCCTGTGGAGAGGGTTTGGAGATTGAAGCACAGGTGGGATGGCCGGCTGGCCAGCCTCTTTCAATGAGTTAAGAGGATCAGAAGCGTGAGATCTGGCAGCGACGTCCGGGCAGGTGCGGTTCCAAGCCAACAGGCTGCTTGCTTTGTCTTTGGAGTGCACCTTTTCAGCTGGCTGAGGTACAGGTGGAGAGGCAATGCAAAACAGAGAGGTCTCTAGGCTCCCGTCACACTGAGTCCCGGGGCTCATATTGTTCCACCTTGGACCCCCTCTCTTCACCTTTGAAAGTACTCTGGTCTGTGTTGATGAAGGGAACAATGTGATCTGGTAAGGGTGGATTTTCTGATGCTCGAGGGAGATGGAGAGCTACTTTTGTTGCAGCATTTCCACTCACCCTCCTTATTTTGCAGGATTCAGTTCTACCATGAGACACCAAAACTCAGTCTCTACTTCCAGCAATCTTCCTAGTTCTTGGAGAAAGTTTTGTTTTTTTTTTTTTTTCTTCTGTGAATTTATCCAGGAAATTGGTACCAACTAAACACAACTAAACACAACTCTTGCTTGCTCAGGAGAGACTCAAAGTAGCAGGTAGCAAGTGGTGGGTTGGGATCCCTGGTGCCTGAGGTAACTGAGGAGTCCCAGGGAGATCTGAAAGCAGGAAGGTCCCTTCTGCATTACAAAAGCACATAGAAACTACATGTGGCTGCAGTTTAGGCCTTGCTAGAAGGGGGTTTACAGAAACACAAATGAAGGAAAGGGAGAACATAGCAACAAACCTAGTTTAGGCTAAAGAAGAAACTGGCCAGCTATCCATTATTGCCAAGGGCCAATTTATTTTAACATCCTCATTGAAAGATGGCCACCAAACAACAGAGATGAACCCAAAGCAGGGGCTAATGAAACTTTGTAAGTAGCTTTTTCCTAACTCCCAACCCTCCCCCAATTTTAAACAGCCCATTCAGAGTTTAATTTGTATCTTTCAAAAGACTGGCTTTCATTCATTCACCCATTCATTCATTCATGTACTCAATGTAGGGCACCTGTCTTGGGAGGTACTATGTTTTAGTTACTTTTGTGCCTCTTTTTCTTTTTCTGTTTGCATTTTCTCTGGCTTTGTCTTCCATGGATTTTTCTTAAAGGAAAGCATAATTTAAATACCACTGTCATAGTGATTGCTTTTGATATTTGGAATTCCCAACAACGCTCTATGAAATGTTTCCATGTGCAGTGGGAAGGCATGGAATTTGGAAAGTTAGCATGGCTCTTTACACTTACGAAGTCATGGGAGAAAAGCAGCAGCTACTTGCTGTTGGTTATTTAGCATACTTTGAAGGCAGTGCTTGATAGATTCCTGAAATTTATGTAAACTAAGGTATTGACCTTGGGCCATTACTTAACAATATACGTGGAAACGTTTGTTTGTGTTTCACAGGAGAGGCTGCTAGAACATTGCAATAAAACCTCGGTATAAAAGGTTCCTTAAGATGCCACGATAAAACTTTATTTTGGCCAGGAAAAAAGTCAAATTTTTGCTCAATAATAAATATATTTGTCAATTGTGAAGGTTTGTTTAGTTTTACTACTAAAACCATGTTCTGGCTACAGGTATTGAAATATTCCTTCAAGTACATCAATTAGTAAGGCCCTGGTTTACCTTATTCAGGAGGACACCATACTAGAATATGGTATATAGCTCATTGCATACAGGAAGGAGATACTGGGGAAGGATGAAGAAGAATAGAGTAGATGAGGCTATGAGCTCTAACTTTGAAGAGAAAGGAGCAGCTGCTTTAACTTAGAACCTGTCAAGTTTAGCTTCAATACAGTCCTATTGATTGACCTATTTTGTTCCATTGAATCTACAAAATTAGTATCAGTTCAGAGGAGAAAACTTTAGGCAACAGCTACACAAAGCAATCACACAAAATGTGCAAATTTCATTTGCATTTTGGTTTGAGTGAGTCCTTGCTTATATTTTGTTTTGAGATTCTGACTCAACTATCCATTTTGGTGTCACACAGTCATCAGACATTTCCCAGGGCTGGAGAAATCAGAATTTACTGTGCAGGGAAACTCTGTTACTAATTTAATCAGCAAAGACTGTGCTAAATTGGATCGTTCAAGACTAAGATTTGATAATTTGGCAGAGAAATCTGTTGCCATGGATGAAAGTAGAGAAACTTCAGTGTCTCCATACTTTTCTTTGGGAATTTTCAAATATGTTATTGAAAGCTTCCGAACACATTTGATATCTGTGTTGTTCTAGCTCTTATTCTCCAAGTCCCCCACCATCAACAGAGCCTTCTGATAGTAAGAGATCTAAAGAACAAGAAAGGAAGCTGTGTATGTGTTTTCCTACTCAAATAAACTTATTCATGAAGAATAAGTATCCTTTGAAGAAAGGAGATTAAAGACCAATGGCAGACACCAAAATTTTTTGACTCCTTCAACCTTGATATCAATCCTGATATTTTATTGAGAAAGGGTTCTCTCTCTCTCTCTCTCTCTCTCTCTCTCTCTCTCTCTCTGTATGTCTCTCTGTCTCTCTCATTCCTCTTAACTTAAACATCTTGGGAAAAATAGCACACCATCTTCTCTCTCTCTGTTTCTGTCTCTCTTTCTCCCTCATTCCTCTTAACTTAAACATCTTGGGAAAAATAGCACACCATCTTCTCTCTCTCTGTTTCTGTCTCTCTTTCTCCCTCATTCCTCTTAACTTAAACATCTTGGGAAAAATAGCACACCATCTTCAGTATCTTAGTATTAATTAATTGTTCCTGAGTTATCTACACCCATTTCCAAACAGGAGACAGACAAAATAATAAGAGCAACTCAAAACAAATGTCCCTACATGGGGGGGGGCGGTCCCTACAGCAGTGCAACATTGCAGACAGTCACTGGCTGGTCTTCAAGAACTGCCTTACACAGTTTTGTTTAAGGAAACTGTTTTGACATCCACAGGCTGAACAGGAATTTTGCTTCAAGTTTATTATCACCAACTCCTAAAGATGAAGGTACAGATGACATTGACTTTTTCAAAGTTAGCTTTAGAGAAATGTTTCTTGGGATGCATTAGTTTATGATATAATATACATATGTGTATATTCTAAGTGTTTCTTAGAATTCTCTAATGGGCTACTGAGATTTGCACTGTACAGTAGATAACATAGATAACTGGTGCTCTCTTGGAAAGAGGAACAGAAAACCCATTGTGAGTTGTGTAGAACTGTGCCAGTATTCTAGAAAACAAGACAGAGTGAAATTACCATTGACATTATTTCAGAAATTCTGATCTTAGCAATGATTTCAGTATTAGATCAAAATTACATTCAGATCAATTCCAAAGTTGCCTGTGTGAAAAACAGTTCTCTCTCGTACACATACACTAACACACATGCATACACACATATACATATATACATACATGCACACATGTATAAAGCATTCAGACACATGAAATCTTAAAATTATATAATCTTTCCACTGTCTGGCAATACACGATTTTTATAATAGAATTTGTCAGACAAAGCATTCAATGTATAATAAAATAACATTTTAAAGGCATTATTTCATCATCTCCCCATATTTAAAATTAATTGCAGTTAAAAATATGTATAATAATCACATGTAGTGTATTGAGATACAAGCTAAATGAGACAAAAGAGGGATAAATGCTCAGAAAGCAGTAATTTAATCAAACAAAGTCATGGGTATTTTTGTTTGTTTGTTTGCTTGCTTTTTAAACAAGTAAATGTTTATAAAACCGTCTAATCTCAACATCTCAAAAGTTAGACTGAAAACCTGAGAATCTGATCTTTGATACTGCCATATATTTTTCATTAATATGTGACGAGTTTACATTTATAAAGCTGAGCACATCCGTAAGGTGAACAGAAATTCCCTTCCCATTCATTGTCATGGATTCCTAATAATTAGGCTATATTTATAATAATTTAAAAATACCTTAGAAAGTTGTTTCTTGGGGGTGTGCATAAATGTGTGAGTAAAAGCCACCTGTAACAATGTAGAGCTATGAGAACACTGGAGAAGAACTATCAAGACCTCATCTTTCAATCCCATTGTAGCTGTTAAGTGAATCATTGAACAAAGATCTCCTGTGATGGCCTCTTCATGCATATGTTCATGTTTATGTTTATGTTTGTTTATGCAGTGTACACAATTTCATCCCCAGTCAACTAAACATTCGAACTTGTTACCAATGCTTTCAGTATTACTCTTTAATTCTAATTCAAATATAGCCATATTTTAATAATACTATACTACATCTTTATAATTAGTTTTAGAAAGTTTAATATCCTACATCTGAAGTGTATTGTAAGTTTAAAAGTTAAATACACCATGTATGTACATATACTCCATCTAAACTGATGTATGTAACTTAACAAAGCATTCCCTGGTAAAATGACAATGCTTTTAATTCTTTGGGTGTGTATCACAGTCAAACTGTGTTTATATTTTAAATTCTATACAAATTACACTTTAGAAACATTTTAAAGGAAACCTTATAGAGGACACTAGTGTCTATTAACACTCTCTTAGCATAAAACAGTTCCCTGTTGAATGTATCTTAAAATTCTCATGAAAAGAAACACCTGCAGTTTTTCTGAGATGGTCTTCTTTGTCTGGGCTAAGACTTCAAAACAATAACAACAAAAGTAGCCTCCTAGGTATTCCTTTTTTTCTGTGGTATTTCTAAGTATTTTTAACAAACCAAGTTGAGAAAGCAAACAGCTTGTATTGTGTGATGTAAGTCCTCAATAAATTGATTCATTTTCATGTACTTGTAGTCATTTTTAGTAAATTGTATAATTTTGCACATACATCAAGCACTGCAGGGAGTGATTGCTATTTCAAGGAAAAGTGAAGGGGGTATCACCTCAGCAGAGTTCTACTGAGATGCCCTAGTTGATGTATATTCTTGAAACGGTTGTGACCAAGTGCCGAGATGTGCCTTTCCCTCCTCCATGTTTTCTTTTTTTTTTTTCTCAGCTCTGATGAAATATATTGCCATATATATTTAATATGTAATATATATATTTCAATTTCCTGTGTCTAACAAGAATATTATCCTCACTCATACTTCCTGTTAATAACAGGAAGGATGTCTAGCTATATGCAGAATACACATTTAATATGATACACTCCATGAACTACAGTAAACACTTTCTTGACTCAGCACACATTGTTCTTGAAGTGACTGTGGGGGTGAAGGGACATTGCAATGACATACAGACTGCATTATACATTAATAATGTTATATATAGATCCTTATGTTTTTCTAAGAAATGACTTGAAATCTAATATTTTCAAAACATAATCCACCAAACAATTCATGGAAGTAATAATAGTTTATAATGTTTTCAGTATCTTAAGTGTAGTTTTATGTTTTCTACAGGATTGAATAATGGCATATGTTTATTTAAGGTCTCAAATTGTGATGATTGAAAGAGAGGGATTTGTCTCATGTAAGAAAGTATAATTTTCCAGGCTTTTGGATTTTTTTATACTAGCTTTCAGGTCAGATTCATGATTTAATACTAAAAGTAAAATCGTCTTTGGTGGAATGGTAACAAATTAGGATTAAATTAAAAAAAATATTTAAAAAACATCTTTCAGTATATTTGGGATTTGAAAAGATTCTAATGGCAAGCACTATTTAGTAAAAGCCACCTACCATGTGCAAATAGAGAATTATTGAGGAAGCAGAATCAAATTTCTGAGTCTTGAAATAAGTCATTCCGAGTGTCCACTGGGATGCTAGCACTCGTTAACATTGTGAATGTAACAAAAGTCATTGCGTGTTCTTCTCTTTAATCACAGTAGTGAAGACTGAGAACAGTTGCTGTAGATGTTGAATTCTTCACAGTTCGCTGTAGAAGAGTCTGTGTTTTATTTTGGGATTTTTGTCATCCTAGGTATTTTGGAAATATTTGCTGTGTCTCAGGGGATTGTAGGAATACGAGGAGTTTTCAGCAACAAATTTTTAGCGATGTCAAAAAAAGGAAAACTCCATGCAAGTGTAAGTAGAACCACTTTATGTTTGTTAAAGGTGCTCTGAGATTTTACGTTTGTAACAAAAGTGAAGTGATTTTTTTTTCTTTTTTCAAAATTAGTGGATAAGATAGACAGTTTGCTTAAGGAGCTTAACTTTTTTTGGTGAACTTATATGTATGTATAACCAATTTCGTATGTGTTAGTGAGTAATCATTTGAACTGACTTGCAAATACATAGAACCTTTAAAACTGTAAAGGATAAATGTCCTTGGAAATGGGCGTTGCATGCTGGCTGCTACTGTAAGTTTCCTAGAGAGGTCTGGGTGAGGCAAGTCACAGCAATGAGCTATTCTGTTGCATTTTAACTTTACGTGTTTATCTGGTGCTATGCATGTTTAATAGAGAGTTCTTATTTGATTTTACAGGTTATTGATGATGTCAAATTTGCTCTAAGTAATGTATGTTTCCACATAAGTGAGTAAGAGACAAAATCAAGACAAAAATCCCCTCACCTCCCAGAAAGAAATTGTGCTGGATGAAGTAGGGGAATTTCTATTTTGCATTTTGTCACATCAAATATAATTACTTAATACTAATCTTGAATTCAAACCATTTCTTCAGACTACTTAAGACATTTTGCAATCAGTTTACAAATTATTTGTTTCTTAGCTTTTAGCACGTGCAGATTCTGTTTATTTGTATTAGTGTGTAAGCATTACACTTAAAAGTAATTAGGGTTTTTGTGATACCAGATTTATTCACACTTAAAAATTTTAAAAGGCAGTTATTCTTTAAAATTACTCCTTTAATTAATAGCAAATGAATAGCTGGCTATTTCTTTTGCAATTTTCAAAGTAGATAGAAAGTCTAATTTAAGAGTGGTATCAACTGACACTCCTTGGCCTCTTACTTTTTAGACCCTTAAGAATCTAAACAGAATTCTACTCATTTCTATATGGAAAACTCTTATAATTTCCTTTCCTTTACATTTAAAGTAATTAATAACTCTTGAAGAACACTATGGCTATTTGGGAATTTAGTGAGATAGTACATATAAAGTGCTCAGGGCAGCATTTGGTACCTTGTAACTATTCAATAAACAGTGTATATTATATGCAGTAAACTAAATATAATCTAAATGTAGCAAACCACAACCTAAGATAAATGAAAAGCCTTTGTTAGACTCTGTAGTCATTAATTTCAAGAAATATTATAAAAGTAATTTATTTCATTTCTGGGTTGTTTGTACTCTAGCAAGTACTAATACGTTTTTAAAAAATGCTTGCTATGACTGAACAACTGAAAGTGACATTTCACTTATTGAAGGAGAAAAATATTCTGTATCACTGTGGGAAAAAATCAGACATGTTATTTTGCTAAGAATAATATTGGATCACTAAAAACTCACATCCTGGATAGAAAACAATGACTTCTCCTTGTTCTACTTTAAGGTTGTAAAAGCCTTCAAAATCTCAGCATCATAAGGGACAAAACGAGTAAAAAAAAAAAATCACCTGTTATGGGTTTGTCTCCTGTGGAATAAAAATCTTAACACTGAAAATATTCTGAGTTGTGCACTAGTGCACACAAAAATAGATGAAACTGGGGCCAGTGTGATGATAATTGCCACACAAGGCAAAGTATTATAAATGGATGCCAATTAGAAGGGTCAAACCCAGAGGTTAGGATACATGATTCCTCTGTCAAATGCAAGTAACTAATTTCTAGAAATTTGACCCAAATGTCTAAGGATGACTGGTGGAAATAATGCAGATAATGCAAAAACCAGCATCTGTTATTCTTTTTCATCCTGGCAGGCTAAAGTTATTTCATGGAATAATGACTTTTAAACAGTACATGTCACTCACTGCGGCTCTTTGATATAAAAGTCATTCTGTTGACTTTGAGCTGAACCATAGATAAAATATTAAGCCCTACAATTATGTCCAAACCTGCATTCTCTTATCTGAGCTTTTATTAGCACTTTTTCTCTAGATGGAAAGAAAGCTAATTAAATTATGAAGCGATTTATTTTTAAAGAAGTCGAGTTTAGAAATAGCATTAATCCTAGCAATTATCGGCTTTATGCCCAGCTGGTTTCTTTCCTGTTCTCACTGTAGTGGAATACGTTAAAAACACTCGTATAACTTTCAGTGTGTTTACTTGACTTGGCTTTGATATTTACAAAATTACATTATCATCCAAAAACCTAACTCACACTTAGTAATGCTTAGTTTGTGAGTCACTTCACATTAATGATCTCGCAAAGGCATTAAGAGTTCCTACCTTTCAGCTTTTTTTCTTTCCAAGTCGACATCAACCAGAAGTGTAAAGTATCCAGGTAGCTCTGGGGAAAGTAATCCCTCTACACTGAACTGTCCATTTCAATTCATTTCTGTCAATAGAGATCAGTCACCAGGCAAGGGTGATGTACTTTCATAGTTCTGCAAGAGACCCTCCACTCATGTTATCTCATCAGACACTGAATCCAGCAAAAAAGAGTTTGAGATGTTTAGTTATTTTCCTAAGGTTACATAGTTACATGATTGAAGAAAACTGTATTGTTTTCAAATTCCTTCTTTAAATATCCACATGCTCTGTAGGTTCAAGTTAATTTTAAAAACACCATTGTGTTTGAGAATGAGTTATTGTTTCCATGTATTTGTAGGTATTATCAAGTGCCTGATTTAGTAATATTTTCATGCGATATGTAAAAAATGAGCATTTCGGCACATCATTAAGATCAGTTATAGCGCTCCATTAACTGGCAAAGAAGAGGGAAATTCTAGATTAGATGTAAAAAGTTGTAAATGAATTTCCACCTTCCCTTGGATTCAGATGACATTTATTTTGTTCCTAGTCTTCCCCTCAAACTCTCCAGTACTTGATTTTAGTCTACAGAGGAGAGAAGGGATGTGGCTGCTATAGAACTTTACAGACGTGTATGTTGTTATCCAGTGTGATGTTGTACCACTTAGAGAACCCCTCTCAAGACCCAACTTTCAAGTAGAAAAGAACTAACTGGTTCCTAAAAATCCTCCTGCACTGAATGCTACTTCCTTGGCTTACCCAAAGATGGCACACTGAAGTAGCAGCCCTGGGCAGTATGAACGAGGCAATGCTGGTGCTGGCTAGTGTCCTAACTTAATTTCACAATAGATGTTTCACTTGAAACTAAAACATGTGGACAGGTGGTGTTTCAAGCTCTCACCACATCCCTCATCTGCATGTACCTCTCTTCAAAACCATCCACAGATTCCGAACACACAAGATAGCCAAACTCCTACTATGTGAGAATCTCAGCTCTGTTTTCTTTTTTAAAGAATCTTTTTAATTGAAAATAATTTTTTATACAAAAATATTCTGATTATGGTTTTACCTCCCCAAACTCCTCCCAGATACCCCTCTCTTTCTTACTGTTCCAAATCCACACTCTTTCTCTGTAATGAGAGAGAGAAAGGGTGTTATGGGCCGAAAGCATATGGCCGTCTTGTCAAAATGTGCCAGGAGTTATGGAGAATAGGAGACAATAATACATCCCAGAGAGCCAGCAGGATTAGCCAGTCTCCACTGTGACTCCTATTCTCTGTTTCAACATACTCCAGACGGAGGCACTTTCTGAGAACATGTGCCCTTGGTTGTCTTTCATCTGTTTGTGCTCTTTCTTCAGGTTTGGGGTTCTTGTAGAAAGCCCCACAGAGGACCTTTTTGGGTTTTCCTTACGGGGGTCTGATGAGAGCATGAATCCCTCTGGGTGTGCAGCTAAGCACACAGACCACTTGTAGCCTAATTCCACGCCACACTCATATCATTTTATTTAATGTTTCTGTGTTTATGCTTTTATGGGTGATACAAATAAGAAAATTATTTTTCTGCTGTGACTGCCGGCAGTGATGGGCTGTGTTTTACATGAGATAATATGGCACTGAATAGTGGGTGTAGCGCCTGGAAACTATTATTACTTGCTAGCTATTTAAACAGATCTCCCAGAATGTGTTCTCTGGCAGCTGGTTGATGATCTTCAATTTTTCCTTCTGATTTTAAAGTTGAGTTGCTGTAACTCTTCAGTTATTCAGATTAACCCAAATCCTACTCACCATTCACCTTCACTCCTTTGGGCCACACTTTCTATGAACACAATAGTCACTTATCTGCTAGGTTTTCCTTTTTCCAAGGAATCGGATTTGAAGGCAGATTCTGGAGCTCACACTGTCACAGTGTCAGGGATTTCTGTTGTCATTATCATGGAATTCTTTTGGAGACCTACAGTCCATTTTAGTATTTTAAACCGTAAATATTATCAATCTTGGAAAAGTTGGATATTACGTGTGCTTCAATCTCTTCATGAAGCATGTGTGGTTGCTTGCTGCATGTTGGGGAAAAGTGTGTTGGCTTAAGTATACGGAGAAAAGCATACGGTCAAATGGTTATTTTCTTATGTCTCAGGGTTCTAGGGGATCATGTTTGGAAGGAAAGCTAATTGCAGAGTTGACGAAACAGGCTTGGAATGTGTGCTGATCAGCCCTGGGTGAGGCCGAGAGCATTCTCCTTTCCGGGTTCAGAGGGTGCCAGCTGGCTGGTCTGGGAGGAGAGTCTGGACTGGACTTCAGGTGCTGGGGGCAGTGAGGAGCAGCCAGCAGCCCCCATAGCTCAGCATGTTTACTAAAAGGGGAAACAGAAAGACTTGAGCAATACTTAACCATTATCACTTAGAAGAAAAAGCTAGTAAGATCCACTCTTTCAGTCAAGACTGTGGGTTACATCAGAGCTTTTTTGTATAAAAGCATCCTTTGCACTGTAAGACCTTCACATTTACATGAAGGAATGAGAGTTTCAGTAATTTGGGATCCAAAATGAGTTTGGCGGTTCTGCCTTTGCAATTAATTCCCTTATCTGACTTTCATTTTGTCTTCCGTAATGTGGGCGAGAAGGACTTTTTTGAAGAAATTTGGGCAAAATGAATGGACTTGTTGCTCCAAAACCCACATTGCCTAAAGTAAGTAAGAATGTGACATTTCTCTGATG